TCTGCAAGAGCAGTCAGTGCTCTTAACCACTGAACCATCTCTCTAGCCCCTATTTATTTTTATTTTATATGTATGATTATTATGCCTGCATGTGTGTAAGTGCACCTGTGCTGTACAGTGCCTGCGGAGGACAGAAGAAGGTGTTGGATCCCCTGGAACTGGAGTTATGTTACCCGCCATGTGGGTGCTGGGATTTGAACCCAGGTCTTCTGCAAGAAGAGCCAGTGCTCTTAACCATTAAGTCATCTCTCAAGCCCCAAGATGAGTTTATTGTATTAAGAACAATTAGTAAAAAACTATTGTTAAGATTTGGAGAAGTGGGTCATAGTGGTAAAGGACTTTGATGCCAGCATTCAGGAGGCCACATAGTGAGAGCTTATCGTTTAAAAAAAAGAGCTGGAGAAACGGAATGGATTAAAACAACAGCTTTCAAACTGGCTCAAAAGTCTTGAGAAGTTCATAAAGATATTCTGAAGTTCATATAATTACAGATAACAATATAGTTTGTTAAAAAAAAACTCTTTAAAACATTGACAGTTTCTCCCTTTGAAAGGGACAACAAGGGCTTCTGATGCTGGCTGATCAGGAGGAGCTTAAAAGAACATGCTCTTGTCCTTTTCAACTGAAGGGTACAGTGGTTCTGATCACTATGTAGTTGTAAATGGCTTCTATTTGTAGCTGCAATTTATACAAAAGAAGCACAAGAACACTACAGCCCCCCAAATTAATAAGAAGCATAAATGTTATATTTTAAAAATTTGCCCCAAGATGATCATTAACATTTTGGTTGTTAGCCTTAGCCTTTAACGGCTGCACTTCCCTCCAGCTCCCCAAGATGATCACTCAATCTTGTAAAGTTTCATTTATCTAATCAAAACCAAGTACATCTAGATGCTTCTAGTATATAAAGAAAAAAAAAATACAGTGATGACAACCCTCCATTTTAGTTTTTCAATTCCAGATTTTCCTCATCTAAAATGTGCTATTTGGGGCTGTGTTCAGCAGTTTGCTGCTCTTGCAGAGGACCCAGGTTCGGTTCTCAGCACTCACATCAGGTTCACAACTGCCTGTAACTCCAGCTCCAGGGTGTCTGACACCCTCTTCCAGGCTTATTTGGGCACCTGCATGCACATTGTGTGTATATATATATACATGTAGGCACACACATACACATAAAATAAATAAGTAAATCTTTAAAAAAATATTTTATTATTTCCATTTTTTTAATGTGTATGAGTGTATTGCCTGCATGTATGTGAGTGCACCCGTGTCATGCAATGCTGAGGAGGTCAGAAGAGGGCTTCGGATTCCCCTGGAACTGGAGTTAAGGACGGTTCATAGTTGCCATGTGGGTGCTGGGAATCGAACCTGGGTCCTCTGCAAGAGCAGTCGGTGCTCTTAACTGCTGAGCCATCTCTCCAGCCCAAATAAGTAAATCTTAAAAAAAAAAACCACATTATTTATGGAAGAATACTTGCAATAACTTTAAAGCTGGAGGAGAAATAGCTATTTTACCTGAATATATAAATGACAGGTGACTTCCAGCAACAGTGATTTAAAAAATTAAAACTTTTGAGCCAGGCGTGGTGGCACATGCCTTTAATCCCAGCACTCGGGAGGCAGAGGCAGGTGGATCTCTGAGTTCAAGGCCAGTCTGGTCTACATAGTGAGCTCCAGGCCAGCTGGGACTACAGGGAGACCCTATCTCAAAAAGACCCAAAAAAAAGGAAAAAAAAATTAAAACTCTTAAAAGGAATTTGAGAAGTTGTTCCCAAGGTTTCGGTAAGCATAAGAATCATGGAGGAAATTGGTTAAAAAGTGTATCCTTGGCTCCATTTGCCAGAAAGTGCTTCAGTACTTTTGGAATAGGCCCCAGAATAAGGATTCTGAATGTCCTAGGGTCTAAGTGATCTGGATACAAGCAGAAATAAAGAAACCTGATATGAGGAAAAGACAGTAGCAACTGTTTGTTATCCTTTGATTTCAATGCCAGTCCAAAGTTTCTTGCCTACCCAAAATACAAATGTATGCATGCAAGTGCATACACACAAACATGGGCATTTGAGTGCGTGTGCATCTGCATGTGCTCATTCTCTCTCTCCCTCCCAACCCCCTGCCCCCAAACCTACATTTTACATCAAGTTACCTTTTATTCTTTCTTCTCTGCTTAGCCTAACATTAGGGAGAAAAATGAAGGAGAGCTGAACCCACACTTCACTAGAGGGGATTCCGCACTTCCTATATCTAGTAGCTCTTAGAGGGAAGTTTGAGCAGTTCTACTAGCTCTGTCTCATTCTAATTCAGGAACCCTGAAACATAAAAGATGAAAAGAAAAAAACTATCTGAAAAGAAACCTCCCAGACAGGAGAACATAAGAAGCCCTAATTATTCTCATCGTTGCATAATCTGCACATCTCATTTTGGTCATACATTTGAAAGCCTCTTCATTTTTCCTGAACACACATCCCTAGGTGTTTCACCCAAATCATTGCAAGTATATTTTTCCCCTTTCATTCCTAGAGTGAAATGCCAGTCTGCCCTGCCCTTTCCTGTGTCCTACAAGTCAAACCTATGATGCCCCGTAGTATTGGCCTAGTTCTATTTACTATAGGTAGTTGGTTTCCTTTAGGGATATTTTTTCATATTCTCCTGCACCCTTCTCTCTTCTGATTGTCTTTTTGGCCCGAGTCACTAGTAATACTTTTACTACCTGGCATCTGAAAGAGCTTTCCTTAAACACAACTCTTTTGTAAATAATGAGCCACACTACGGATGCACCTATTATGTGCCTCCCACTCTTAACTCTCGTCTCACCAAATTCCTGTCCTATCAATCTACTTTTCACTCCTACCTTCCAGACTATTCCAGAAATTTTGTTTTTCCCAAGAGGGTTACCCAGAGTGATTAGAAGGGACTACACCTAGAGCCACAAACTACTTAAATGTCCAAATACATTTTCATCTGACATAATACCTAACACATAAAATTTATCTCTTGGTAACTTATTAAAATCAATTGATTGCAAATGTGTCCTAAAACCACTTGGAACAGTGTGCCTATCTCAAATGCAAACTTCTGTAGAAAGCAATTATCTTGGATAATAAAAGATAAGTAAGAAGATGGAGGCACTTTGAGTCTTCCATGGCATCTTCTTCTGACCCAGAAGGGGTTCACAGCTTGCCTTGTGATGAAAAGGATCTGCCTGATGATGAGGGCTGTTCTGCTGCTTTTGTACTAGCCAGTGGTAGAGACAGACATAAAGTGGGATCCCCAGAAATTCTACTTGCTCAAAATGGCAGAGACTTTCCTCTCCAGGAGTCCATGGGAAGCCAGTTCTAGGATAATTAATCCTCAGGGACCCACCCCCATTCACACATTCTCCAAGCCATGTAGCATTATTAGATACATGGTGCCTTCTGAAAACTTTCCACTGTTGCCAGGAGGGCTACAGTACTCACCAGGACGCACAGACTGGACCAAAACAATGCGATCCCCACTAACTGTGAAGCCAAAGCCATGTTGGTCCTTTTGGATGATGACACAGCGTTGAACAAGACCTGGTAGGTGTTAGAGAGAATGAGAAGAGTATGGGCAGGCAGCCTCATTGAAAGATCACCTAAGCCAAGGCCAACTTTTTTCTTAAGAAGCATCCCCAGACTAATACAATTCCCCAGAGTCATCCTGTCCACATATATTGCTGTAAAATATAACACCCTCAGGGATTATAGAAACCTGGAATCTTCTTTGTATTCCCTATGAGAGGTTAATTCTTCTTTAAGGTGCTGAAATGGTTGTCCCTTATGGTCTGTTTGGAGCAGATTAGTCAAAGGGGCAGGGCTAAGTCTAGCTATGTTCCCAAGACTGATGTTATAGATAAGCAGTCCCCTGGATTGACAGGTAATTTTCTACCATTACGTCCAATGAATACACCAAGTGGAGCACCAATCCTTGTTGACTGTGTTACAGAGCTGGTTAACTTGTAGAAAGTGACTCAGTATTGGTCCCTTGCAAAATCCAGGGAAAGATAATGTCAGGAGAAACCCTTTTATTCCTATCAATATCCATGCACAGAGTAGAAAGGAGGAAGAGGGAGGGAAGAAGGGAAGGAGGGAGGAATAAGGGAGAGAGGAAGAAAGAGATGGGGTGGTTACCAACCTTCTTCCCTGTGAACATTTGTCAGACACTGTACATGTGTAAAAGCATTTCATAATGATTGAGGCATGGGCCTCAAGGGGACTTAAAAATGGAACTGGCTCCAAGCCTCCATTCCATCTCCAATAAACATGAAACTGGGCAAGTTTCCTAACTCCTCTGTGCCTCAGCTTACTCATCTGTAAAATAAGGATAAAAAACCCACTTCCTAGGTTGGTATAAGGAGGCAACTAATAAAACTGGTAACAAAAAGCCCAGCATATTTACGTGCTTAATATAAAGTTAAGGTGTGTTACACTTGGGTATATAGGATCTCTATTTATGGGTAAATACCCATGTCTATGTACTGATGCCCAAATTGGTAGTTACCTGTTGTCTCAGAGGTGTCGGAGGGTTGGTAGTGGTGGGACGGGAACTTGCGTTCAGTTGTGGACTCTCCCAGAGAAGACAGGCTACTTAACCTAGAGAAGGAGTAAGGGAAGCATATCAGTGACTGGGTAGGGAGGCAGCAGTAGGAGGATGCTCTGTCAAAGGGGGTCCTGAGTCTTGGACAACAAAAGACCAATCCACCCACCTTGTAACCTGCTCAACCTGGTAGATCAGTCATGTCTATATAACTGGCATATAGCTATCTGGAATCCTGGCCTGGCAGAGCAAGCATGATTTCTTTAATACCCAGAGGGTATGAAGGGAAATACTCTTTGTATGATCAAGAAGCAAAGTGACAATAGCAAGAAGATTGTACAAACATACATGTGCTTGTTGGGTCTTACCAGGCTGTAATGGGGCTGATGGAACAGAATGGAGCAGCAGAGAAAATGAATGCAAGAAAAACAAACAACTAGTTAGTGTTAGGTGATGATTTGCAAAAAAGGAGGAGACTGGAAGGAAGGACATAATGGGCCAGACACATACAAAGGCCTGCATGGGCAGCTGAACTCCCCACTGTAGTGTCATCTCTTTGTCATTCAAAGTTTCACCTCTCTAAAATGGTAGTCTACAAGATGGCACCTGGGCATTTGACTAACCTATTAGGTAACTGGCAACTCATACACTTTTTTAGAAAGGAGGGGAACAGCAACAATTTGAGTCTCTAAAAATTCCATTTATCTTTTAGGTACCACAGAAGAAGAGGAAATCTGGTATGGTGGTGATAGTATCTTCCAGTCTCACAATCAGGCCCATTCCACAGCCAGTCTGAGGCATCTTGCTTAGAAACTAAGACACTAAATCCTCAAAGTACCACAGATCACCAACCAAGAATAATTTCTTGATCTTTTCTTTAATTACAACCTCTACAGGAATAGAAAAAGAACTCAAAACACTGCTGTGGCCTTTTATTTTATTTTTAATA